AAACCTTTCAGCTACTCCCTCAGGTTGCTCATCTGGAAGCTCTGGGGAACGGCGAGGTGTGTCAGCTGGTCTCCATGACGTCGATATTCTTGATCTGTCGCTTCTCCACGCACTTTGTACGACACAGGTCCTGACTGCTGGGTAACTATTCCAGGAATCCACCTTGGGGTTTCTCCCGCAGTGTTTCGCAGATAAACCTGCTCATCCACGTCAAACTGTCTGTCCAATGCCCGTCTGTCGTGTCCTTCCTTCTGGAGATACTGCTTTCTCCTCACTGTTTCTTGGATACTTGGTTTCAGGAAATCCAATCTGGTTCTGACATGCCTTTTCAAAAAACACATCAGCAGGTGACTCGCCTGTTGTGCTGTTAGGAGTCGTGCGATACCGTAGCAAAAAGTGAGAAATTTTGTCTTCGATGCTCAAATCTTCTCTTGCTAGCTTTTTCATGCCGGCCTTGAACGTTGAGACATATCTCTCAGCCAGCCCGTTTGTGGCTGGGTGCCTCGGAGCACCGGTTGTGTGGAGGATTCCATTTCTCCTCGCAAACTGCTGGAACTCATCAGACATAAAGGTTGTAGCATTGTCCGTTACAATTTGTTCAGGAACCCCATATGATGCAAAAAGCCTCTTTAGCCTTGTAATAGTCGCAGAAGAGGTTATTTGTGTCATTTTATACACCTCCAGCCATTTTGAGAATGCATCAACTACAATCATGAACATGTGGCCCATGAATGGCCCAGCAAAGTCAATGTGAAGTCTCTTCCAAACATCTCCCGGAAACTCCCAAGGATGTAGCGGTACTTGGCGTGGCATGTTTTGCTCTAACTGGCACGTTTCACACCCCTTGCAGGCCTTTTCAACATCCATATCAATATGTGGCCACCAGACGTATTGCCGTGCGATTGCTTTCATTTTTACAATTCCAGGGTGCCCACTGTGGATCTCTTTGAGTATGGCAGCTCTGAGCTTAGCTGGTGCGATCACTCTCGTACCCCACAGCACACACCCTTGCTCCACAGAGAGTTCATCACGCTTTTTGTGGTATTGCTTCAGTTCATCAGGAATTTCTTTTGGCCACCCTTCCATGATGAACCTGTGCAGCCTTGAAAGCTCTGTGTCAGTTCTCGTCACCTTGGCAATCTGCTTTGCCGTCAGCGGCACGCCCTCTAGATGTTCACATATTAGCGCATCGACATAGGCAGAGATTGTCTCTGTTCCTGCATCCTTGGTCTCAGACAGCGGAACACGAGATAACCCGTCAGCGTTACCATGCTTGCCGGACTGGCGGTAAACAATGTGGTAGTTGTATGCCGACAGTATGATGGCCCACCTCTGGATGCGGGCTGCTGCCATTGTGGGAAGTCCTTTATGTTCTCCAAACAGAGTCAATAATGGCCTGTGGTCTGTGACCAAGTTAAATTGACGTCCCCAGAGGTATTGGTGAAACTTTTTAACACCATACACACCAGGCTTAATGCCTCTTTCTCTATTTGCGAATACTTCTTCTCTGCTGGAGAGAGTGTTCGAGAAGCATAAGCTATTGGATGCTCTTCTCCATCTGCTGTTGTATGCTGGATTACAGCTCCTATTCCATAAGACGAAGCGTCACATGCAAGGGTCAATGGCAGGCTCTGATCATAGTGCACTA